CCAAGAAAGCAGGAAGTATTTTGTCAGCTTAGTTGGGGGTTGGTTTGTTTGTTTTTCCAGTTCTACATTTAAGGATCTGCCTTCTTCCAAGCTAGTTTTACCTTAAAAGGCTTTCAAGGTGTCAAACATGGACTACTACGTCTTCCATGGGTATGTATGCTGGACTGCAATAAGGAGGTAATTAGTCTCTCCCAACCAAACTCTACAAAAGAGCTTTTATAAAGCAGCTTAGCTTTATAGCAGTTTGTTAAGGCAACGGAGACTATACTAATACAACCTCACAAAACCTCACCACCATCAGCTTGGTTTGGTTTTGAATAAGGTAGGAAACAATTCTGCATTCAATGCAAATTCAAACTTCTTACATAACTGGGGCTTTATAGCATAATGGAATCAGAAGATAGAAAAAAAAATGCAGTTCTATTCACTGAAGAGCCAAGAAGTGCAAAAAACCTATTCCTGAATTACAGAAGCACAAGAAAATCTGACAGTCTTCTTTCAAAAATGTCCACTACTTAACTTGCAAGTGAATGTAGAAGTGAGGGATAAGGTATATCTCAGTAGATTCAAAATCATGGAAAAATTAGAAGCTATATTCATAAACTGCTCCAAAGAAGGACAAAACTCTTGGAAAAAAGATTAAATGTTGTTTGGGTTCTGGGTTTTTTCTAATCAAGTTTCTGGCATTCCTAAAGCTATGAACTTTGTTGTTGTTTTGGGATATGCTTTTTTACCCCCTTGCTCTCATCTGTCTCACTGCTTTTGATCCAAGTCCACTAGAGTCTCTACTGTTGAGGCAATCTCCACTACTTTAGCATCTGCCTCTTTATGCCGATACTTACACAACATACTTGAGCAGCACAGTTTCAGTGTAAGAAAACTTAAAGGAAACTGAAACAACATCTAGAAATAATTCTTGAAAAGACTAAGAGATAAAAAAATGTGAAGTATTTAATATACAGTCTTACCTGAAAGAACAGTAAGCATTCAGAAGTTGAAACTGTTGAACTTGGAAGAAACAGTTCCTTACACATGCAAGTTACACTTGAAAAAGGGGAAGTTTCCTTGGAGGGAACAGGACAAAGGCACCCAACATCTCAACTCCCTCTTTAAATCACCAGTAAGAAGAGATGTAAATTTTATTTCATTAAGTACAATACCCACCTGACACTATTTTGCAGTGTTACTACAGACTTAAATCTGTGCACCATAAAACTAAGACTACAACTCCTTTTTTCTAAACACATGAAAACTATTTTAATGCACTAAATCCAAATCACTCTCTTTTCACTCTTCTAAGCTGATGATATGACTAAAAGTAGTTCCTGGAACTATCTGGTAAAAAGGCTCAGATTTACATTGTTAAATCTCCATTAATGTAAGCTATCCACAATAGGATAATAACCACTGCACAGTTTGAATAATTAATGTATTACTAGTACTTAGAAGTACTATATTTTTTAAAAAATATTTGTACTGCTCAAAAATAAAATATTGCTTACAATCAACATCAGCAAGCTCCTCTTTCAGCAAGAAATATGCATGCATATTAAAAATTAGAAACAAGTCTCCTGATTAAGCTATCATGAAATTAGTATGGATATAAATTGAGCCGTAACAGCAGAGTTCAACTAACCAATTTTTAGAAAGCAAGTGAAAAACCCTAACCAATATGAAAATGTTTGAGAACTTCTCTATTAGTGATCACACAAGTAGACTAATAAATTGTTTAGCTATCACTAGGCTGCCCAATAATAGAACAATCAATGCAATCAAATTTTTAATGTACAACATCACCACAAACAAGACTGCTTCAGGAAGAGAAACTCACACACAGAAAATATTTTTTCATCTGTAACTAAACCAAGTAACTGGTAACTGCATTAGATTTGATTACAAGACATTTTTCAAAAGTAGTCATATGGAAAAATCAGAGTTTAATAAGTTAGGGAAAAGATACAGAAAGACACTTTAAACAGAAAAGCCCAATACTGCAGCCTGATATGAGAGGTTCCAATTCTGGTTGTCCTTGCACTTACCGTTTATGTCCTTCTTTCATACTGAACAGTAAAAAGGGATAGGATACAAGTGAAGAAAGCTTACTTTTCAACGCTTTTAAAAAACAAAAACAAGGATTAGAAGCAATTATTATTTTCTTTCTAAATACATGGTTGGCAGATGACTTAATGTTACAAGGATTATGCCAAAAGAGTTTATCAAGACCTGATATGGTAAAAACTACCCACTAGTATCATAAAATGCAATTTTCACCATGAGGCAACTTTTAAACTCTGAAAACAGAATAACTTTTTTTCGCTGTATGTACAATGGTAATCTGAGACTAGAAGAAATTACCAGATGGAGTCTGATCACAGTAAACAAGTATTAGTAAGAATAATTAACAACATTTAGTTGTGTAAGAAATTCTACTAAACTGAAGAAAGATTTTGATATATCATTATGCAATCTCCAGAAATGGTTTTAAATTCTTCTCTGCAGCAAAACACAAAGGTTTTTTCAAGCTCCCATACACACTACACAACTTAAGTGCAGTTTTCTAAAGACACGTTATAATGAATGCCTATAAAATAATAGGTCATGCTTAGAGTTACATAGCTGCCCTTATTAGAAACAGTTGCTAAAGAAAGTAACATCACTTCCAATTTTGTTTCAATTCTTCCTCTTTTAAAGTTCAAAGGATATTAGAAGTGAAACATAAGCCAACACATGACCAGAACACTAAATAGTAGTCTGAAGACTAGTGAAAACGTTTTTTTTTTAAGTTCTTGCATATGCCACCTCAACTTTGCATTTTAAAAAAAAACCTATACTGTACTATATATTCCTTTATGTAACTTATAACACTCCTGGTAGGGTTGTCACTGCACAGCTACATCTACATATGCTTGCAGTGTATTAATGAGTTCCAGACGAACACACAATTCCAGTAATGCACTTCAGTGGGAAAGCTACACTTTTCCAGAGCATTCTTCCACCTTTACCCTTCCCCGCAAAAAATTTCATAGTATTGAATTTGCAAAAACTACGCACAGTGATTGAAGTGCTTTCCATTTGAACCATTCCTCTTCCCTTCCCATGCCACACTTAGGTTATGTCCAGCTCACCAACTTGAACAGTTTCTAGTCACACAGACTTCAGAACTTAAAACATGCAGATAAGCAGGAGGACGGCCAAACTGTGGCAAGCAATTCAAGCACAGAGGCTAAGTAACATTCCAAGAATAAAACCAGCCAAGGTTGCTGTGGCCAACGTTATCCAGTTTTCCCAGCACCCCAAGCTGTGGGGTACAGGTTACAATCTCCCAACAGCAATGGAATCTGAGGGAGCTACTGCTATCTCAGGCGTACGGGTTGGCTCCCCAGCTTCCCCCCCCTTCCTGCAGAACTCTGCAGCAAGCAGCATGGGTCTCACGGATCAGCCACAGGAGGATTCTGACAGCTAGCGTCAGAAAAGTCAGGCCACCCCCAAGATGCTTATGTGAAGATACTAAGGTGAAATGAAATTCCATATTTGGCACTACACAATCAATACATGCTATTTCTAAATTACATCAGACAATTGTTATGTGCTATTTCACAAAGTAAGTTTAATAATATGTGGGAACATACTAAAGGACATTATGAGTTTTGAATTCTTGACCTTTATCATCCCAAAGAAAAGACATGATGAAAGCAGTTGGATTTTTTTAGTGTGAGCACATACAGAAATAAGTGATTGGTTGCTTTCTACTGCAAGTTTCTCAAAACACAATCAGTAAAATTAATAGCTGTTAGTAACATCAAATGAACAATTTCGCTTCCTCCCCATCCTTACCAAAAGCACTAAGGGGCAGAGGATGGAGAAAAAAAATGTCCTGCTGAGAACAGGAAATCTTTTATTTTCTAACTTCTCCTAGGATGCCTCAGAACATACATAATATATTCTTCTCAGCTCTACAGAAAATGTTATGGTATAGAATGTAAAACAGGTATTTCTTCCATAAAACATAAAATCAGAAAGTAACTGAGAAAACAGCAGCTTGATTTTTGATTTATGTATCAAGCTGTACCTGTAAAGGGGATCAAAATTCCCTCCTGCAGACTACAGTTGTTACAATAACATTAAAAAGCAGTGTGGATCGCTTATTCATTGCTTCCTCACTAGGAATAGCCGTAGCAGTAAAATGTGCCCTTCTCACATGAAGTTAAAGGATTCACAACACAGGTCGTGTTCATTTAACTGCCTTGGTTGGTAGAAAGAAAAGCCATACTCTTGATCAAAATAGATCATCATGAAAACTTACAAGCTGACTCCTCTGATACCACTATTTTGCTAGTCCTGCAGGACGCGCTTCAAGAAGCAGAACACCTAAATTACTAACATAAATAATGTAGAAATTAAAGCAGAGGACCATTTTTTCCACCTTTATAATATTTTAGTCTCCTTTAGTAAAGATTTTGATGTTTTCCTCATCTAGTTTTACAGTAGGGTCAAAGGTGGAAGTGATTTTAGGCTCCATATGAAGTTAACACTGTCGATTTTGTTTCTGCAGTGTATTATTCGTAACAGGTTAAGCATAAAGCAAAACAAGCAATTCAAACAAGCTTAACAGCCGGAACTGGTTTAAAATTTAAACCTTCACTCAAACTAGGGCACCTTCTTATTGAAACATCATTTATTCTTACAATCTCCCACTTAGAAAAATTCTATAATTTTATTGAAAAAATTAATTTCCTGAATAAAAAAGGCAAATTATTATCTGAACACCTTCACTTAACTGAAATGATACATCACCAGCTTGTGGGAAAAATAATGGTGACATCATCATACATGAGCGTAACTATACTACTAAATTTGTACCGCTCCACTCATGAGAATGATGGAATACTGAGGGAAAAACGGTGAACAAGAAGGCAGCAGCTCAACAGCTCGTATATAAAAACATTACAACAAAAAAAATTCTTTTACAATTTTGACTTTTATCATAGAATTTTACTTACATTGTCCATGAAATTTGGCTTAAATCCTCCCTCCTGCTGTCGTCGTAATTCCTCCTGTTCCCTCTGACGTAGCATCTCTTCTTCACGACGTCTATGTTCTTCTTCATGTCTAGAATATTTTTCAAAAACTATGTCAACTTAGACTCTTGAACTGTTCAGGCTTGAACTCAGTCTCAGGAGACAAGACCAAGCATATAAACAAAGCTGGTTGTTATTTATTTTTAAATATAATGTAAGGCACTAATCTAGTCCACCTGATGGGTCTGAATATTATTGAAGTGTGTTTTTTTAAAAAAAAGAAAAAAAAAAAAACAGAATACAGGTAGTTACAATACCAGTACATTCTGTACCTGTTCTTCTGGCTACATATTGGAAAGCAGGTTAAAAAAACCTCAATTTTTAGCAAGTCACTATGGATTACAACATTTCAATACTGCTAAAAGACATACTTTTAACTCTGCAAGGTGTTTGTGTTTCATTCTTCTTTGTCATCTACATTTCTTGTGATATTTAACACAAAAAGTCGATACTGTCTGTTTTCTTAAATTTTAGCAGATGCATAGAAGTAAATATTTGTATGGATCAGATCTTAAAGGAAAAAATGTTTGCAACAGAATATTAAGTGGAAATACCCCCCAAAATCTCATGTCAGACATAGCATGCTACTATTCCACATGCAGATCACCTGCCCACAAATCTCGGAAGTATGTTCGTATCTATTACTACTACAGCTCTTCTACAGCTATGCTTCAGTCACAAGGTTAAAATAAATAATAAGAAACAAAAAAAATTAAGACATTTCTACGCTATTTAGAAAGCTCAGAAATTTACAATAGAATTAGTAGAGCTGAAATAAACGAAAAAAAAATCAAGAAATAATTTCAACCATTCTTTTATATTAGCTTAAAGCGAGCACTCTTCTGTTCAAGAACACTATCTGAAACACCACACATTAGACTTTTGACAAGCAGCTTTTTAGCAGCAGAAACATTTATATTTGATATCAAAAGCAAGCTCTACAAGCTGGAGTGTCTACATTCACACATGCCTACAGAAGCTGCATGTCACACCTTTGCACAGTATAAGACAAAAATACCTCAATTGTATCTGCTTGCGTTTTTGAAGTTCTTGATTTCGAAGTTCTTCCAAACGCCTCAATTCTTCTTGACGTCGCATGAGATCTAACAGGATTAGAAATGTAATAAATATAAAAGCTGCCAATCAGCAATGTGGCAACTCAAAAATTGCTATTACTGTCAGATTAGTTCCAATATTCCATTTTTAAATAATTTTCTCAACATATTTAACTAGTTTCTTCCCATAAAGCTAAGTCTAATATATGAAAAACACACTGTATCCACAGCTCACAGAAACACAGAAGGGTACAGGACCAGGACTGGCAAAGCCTCCGCAGCAGATTATGGAAGCAGAAATCTGAAGTCCCCAAACAAAGAAAAGGAGAAAGAAAACCTCTCAGTCACTTAAATCACATCCTTGTTTTATATCTAGGGCAAGGCATCAATTTTCTCACAATGCTGTGTACTGCTAAATTCACACTAGCACGAAAATTAGTGCAGTATGTATGGGCTTATACTCTCCACTACTTATTGCAGGCCACTGCACAGCACACATCAGAAAAAAGTTATATGAACTTCAGGGGCACGTCATCTGAGCCTCCATAGAGATTCATCACGTGCATCTGCTTATAGCAACTTACAAATGACTGGTCTTTAACACCAGCAGAAAGGAACAGCCATATCCTCTTAAAAACCATTTAAAAGGCTCTTAAAAAGCAGGGCCCAACTAACAGTAATTACTTTTGCTGTACCAGTTTCTGACCAGTCACATTATTGACTTCTGCCTGGAAATTTACGCTTTCTTCAATTAATACTAATTCTACCACTTGTTACAAAGCAGTTGTTTGCTTTTTCTGTCTTCACAGGATACATGCCACATGACATTATTTACAAACACCATGAGAAACATTCCACTGTACCACCTATTCTATGCCTTTCATACTTTAGATCAAACTACTCCATACATTCCTCTATGCATTTGTTCACTAATCTTATTAAAGCATCTTTTTAGCTATGCAAATCACTTTCCTCAAACTTCCATCAACATATATTATTACAACTTAACCTTTTACTTTAATATTCAAAAACAACTACAATGACTCGTGCATTTTATCAAAACATCAGGTACCTGTTTTCTTTCATAAAAAATATTACCAGATTTGTACTCTCACAGCATCCTTACTGACATTAGAAATCCTTTCTCAAGCGGACTTTGCAGGCTTGCTTTTCCAATCTCTTCTGCAAAATTAACACATTTCACACTTCCATAGAATACAATTAAGTTGAAGATCACTCAAATCACAAAGTCTGAGGGCTGCTTCTTTCCAATAGTGCCTGCCGTAGTAGGGTTGGACACTGTTATGCTGATACTCGGGGAGTGCCACAAGCACGTTTTGTTGGTTTTTCTTCCATAACCTTTAGGTTATTTGCACTTTTCTCTTTTAAAATTAATCTTTAGGTTGTTTCAGGGTATTACTGAGATCAAGAACTGACCAATTCTATGCTCAATGTTGTCCACTGTCAGAAAAGTTACTTCCTTGTCCGTTCTTCAGTCTTTCAAATTTACGTAGAATTCCCCTTTACTTGTGTTATTATGCTGGCACAGGATTTCCTACTTTCTCTCTACCACTAATTGCTAGAAATTTATTACTTATTCCCCTATATTCTTAACACACGGAGTCCTACTCTTCCCACTGTCCTCTTAATTTTTTTTCTACAGCATAGCACTGATTACTGCCTTTACTGAAATTTTTAGTATTTTGAAGTTCAACATACCAATATATGATCCAGCACCATTTGACAATGGCAGAATATTGGCACAAAGCCTTACTAGCCAGATGAAAATATAGATCTGGAAGTTCAGGCTGGGCACAGAGCCATTCATATTAACAGATCTGCAGTGATGGTAATTCTGGACTGACGTATGTTGGACACAGGTCCTTTCTCTGAATACAAAAAAAACCTGCACTAAAGCAGCTGTGACAGAAAAAAAACCAGAAAGCATTATTATTAGTTTCTGCACTATCTTGTGCTTAAAAAAGGGGCAAGGTTTCATTTTATCCTCAGCCTTCTGCAGAGCAGAGGGCAGAAGGTGTAAGTGTATTCTCACCTCAGAAGTTAATCCTACAAGCAGGAATACCAAGTCCAAAAAGATTTTTAAGTTGTTTCAAGCTGCTAATTTTTCAGGTTCTAAAAATGGAGAACAAACGTCCAGATTCCAGTTAACTCATAAAGAACTAAGCTTCTGTTTAAATTCAGTCACATTGTCCAGTATTCTCCTAAACTATTTAACCACCACTATGAAGGAATATTTACAAAAGTCCAAAGCGTACCACCAATACATAGATCAGAAACATCACTCCAATTTACTCACACATGGCAACAGGTATTCTGCTTTACTCCTGACACAATCTGTCAAAACATGACACTTAAAAGTGAAAAATTACACAAATCAAAAGAATGAAGTCTACCTCCCTTATTAATACCACACGACAAAAACCTGAGTACTTAAGCCAAGATACTGAAGTTCTACTAGCTTTCATAAAACCTTCACCTGCAGGAGTATATGGACTCTAGTATCTTGTTTTTAGTTCCTGACAATTAATATACTGTATTCCGTATTTCAGAATAACTATTTCAATGTACCTTTAAATCCATAGTTTGTGCACTGTGTATACTAAAATACTAATTCTAGGTTTGGATGCCTCTAAAGTTTCATCTTTCTTAAAAACCCCTGTTATGCAATCTCGTTAATATTCTTGGCATGGTCTGAACTTATACTCAGAGACACTGTTCAGCCCAGAAAGACTTAGAAGTAGATAATGTCTGACAATAAATGCAAGATAAAAAACCCACTATTTTCATACACACTGAAGCTAGAGATTTGGTAAGATTAAAACAGAAGGAACGTTTACAAACCCCTGAAGTTTTGCAAATTAAACATCTGCAGTTGCTTAAGTAGAAATCTAATAATATGAACCATATTCCAAGTTATTTAGTACCAAAGAGAAGCACTCTGTTAACCAAACAGGAAAGGAAAAAAAAACCTCTTCCACACTAACAAAAAGCACGTTTCCTCACTGGAATACTGGCACCAAAAGCATTCATATTCTAGTGGCTTTTTAACGGAAGGGGTAATTCTTTTCCTTTTCCATATAAAAGTAGAGCTTAACAGATATTCAAAAAAGAAATATTTGCTCCTTCACAGTGTCCTTAAAAGAAACCCTAGTATCCACAAAGCATCCCCAAGCTGCTGTCCCATGTTTTACCATCAAGACCTTTTCCATCTTGATAAACACGCCACTGTCTTCTTGTCTCAGTTTAAAACACGATTAAGGCACGACAATTTAGGAAAAAGTAATCCTTAACCTTGCCATCAAGTACAGGCAACAGGTAGATAAATTCTAAAAAAAATAATCAAGGAGTATAAACTCTAGAAGCACTGTCAAATATTCATTATTAGTTCATGTTAAATTAATACAACCTGTATTTTCAGCACCGAACCATCTTTACCAAAGTCACATGTACACAAAATTTAAAATATATGTCTAATTCAAAAGGGGGGCCTGTACTGTGTATTTAAGGCACTGTTATGTCACATTAACATTCATAACCCTCACCTGTAAAATATACCTATGCTTACATGTAAACCAAATGCTTTAACATTTTTTTTGCATGGAAAATAAACCAAGAAACAACTTGACAACAGGTGCTGCTACAACTATTTGGCATTTCATAACAGTTTTTTTACTGTATTATGCTCTGTATTTCAGCACAAGATCTTATACAAACAATACGGTTTCACAGTAAAAGCAAGCATGCTTATTTAGAAAAAACAGGCTAAAGTAAACTTTTTCCTAACGACAACTTTCAGTTGCAGTAGATTTAAGAATACTATATTAAAAAATCAAATATCCTCCTTTTAATCTCTTTTCCAGTTATGAAAATGTTTCAAAACAGATTTTAAAATACTATATGTTTACATTCAATATATCCAAGCATTTAGGTGCTTTAATTCCACCAACCTAATGAATACTCTAATCCAGCTCATATAGATATTTTCAACATGTAATTCCACTCAGCAGAAAACAAAGATAAATCCATCTCACACAGGGAGGTCGTACCATCAACAATAATGTCCTTTAAGTGTACGCATTAAGTAAAGACAAATAATTGCAGCAGACAGCTTGTATGAGTTACCTGGGCTTAAGTTTTTAAATGTAGCCACTACTTAAAAACTCAAGAAGTTCAAATCCCTTTAAAATTACAAGGCATTCATATTCAGCCTATCAAGCTACTTACTGTACTATCTTATGATCTAACACTCTCAGGGATAAGAATTTTTTTACATAGCCATGATTCAAGATTTAAAAAAAAAAAACAACTCTTCCGTGTTTCATTCATGCAACAAGCCCTTGAGATCCTTTCCAACAGATTTGCAACATATTTAAACTTCTTCCACCCAAATGTTGCAATTTAGCAGTCATACAGAGGGAAGTAAAATCAAGTAGTAGTTCAATAGTTCTGAACTGGAAAGTAGTGATTGCATGTCCACAGCATTTTGGGAAAACCATATTTTGGGGGGGAGGCTAACAAGCAGAAAGTATTAGATACTCGCCCTGCTCCTGTCTTCTCTGCTGAAAAACGCAAGCTCCATCCACCCAGCTCTATTCTTAAAGACAGGGCTTAAAAGCAATTGTTAGAGGACTATTTTTCCCCATCAACACTAGCAGAAGATGATACGTCCAAACAACTACATCATATTAAAATTTCAAGAATGTCTGAAATTCATGGCAACTGTGAGTTATTTTGAGTTGTTGCTTACATATATGTATGCATCAGACATTTCAGCTGGGTAAGAGCTAGCATTAGCTACTGTAACATTTAAAACCATACCAGAGGTGCGCAGCACAGCCAAAAGAAGTAGGAGCTATCTTTCCTTATTTTTTCCTGCACATGGCCCACAAAGAGCACTTAGTCCTACCTAGTATCATAAGCAACACCAAAAATGGAATATAATTTTACTTATGAGTATGACAATACCATTCAATTTCTTTACATAAACTACCTACACTATGCAAATTTAAAAAGTGAAGAAAACAGACCTCGACTACCACCCCTTTCTCAGTTTCTTTATCCATCTCTGCAAATCATCAAGGAATATGTGTAAGGAGAAATATTACTTCCTTCTTCTCAATTCAATGCATTTAATTAAATAGCATCTGGCAAAATCTCCAAGTTTAACATACAGCTCAACATGCTACACAAAGAAAATCTGTGACAAACAAATTTAATACTAGTAGATCATCTGATTTTACCTTGCCTCATCAGCATTAGCTGATGCTCATGTCTAGCTGCTTCCATTTCTGCCTCTAGTTTTTCTTTGGCTTCTCTAATGTTCCTGTCAACCTGTTCACGCTGTTGCTTTTCCATCTCATCAAGAGCCTTCCACCGTGAAGCATACTCAAACTCAAATGTTCCAGGCTGAGCAAAACGTGGAGGCTGTT